TTATTTCAAGAATTTTTTTTCTTGAGAGAATAACAAGAAAATTTTCTTAATAAGAAAATTCATTTTAAGAAAAATTTCTTGTTTTGAGAAATTATTTTCTTAAAATAAGAACTTATTTTCTTATTTTAAGAAAATTTTCTTATTTCAAGAATTTTTTTTCTTGGGAGAATAACAAGAAAATTTTCTTAATAAGAAAATTCTTTTTAAGAAAAATTTCTTGTTTTGAGAAATTATTTTCTTAAAATAAGAAATTATTTTCTCATTTTAAGAAAATTTTCTTATTTCAAGAAAACTTTTTTCTTGGGAGAATAACAAGAAAATTTTCTTAATAAGAAAAAAAAATTCTTGATTTGAGAAAATATTTTCTTAAAATAAGAAAATATTTTCTCAATTTAAGAATTTTTTCTCAAGAAAATTTTCTTAATAAGAAAAATTTTCTTAAGAAAATTTTCTTATTAAGAAAATTTTCTTGTTATTCTCCCAAGAAAATATTTTCTTATTTCAAGAAAATTTTCTTAAAACAAGTTTTTTTTTTCTTAAAATAAGAAAATGATTTTTTGCTGTGTAGATAATGGCCATAATGGAACATTTGCTAGTTTTTATTCATGACTCGGAACCACTGTGCATCTTGCTCTCCTGAGCAGTAAAATTAAAAGGAGAAAAAGTATAGCTTAACTGTCCCGATTAGTTCTAATTCAACTTTAAAGCCCGATACGATAAATAGTTTAATAGCGGGATATTCCTTTGACTATATAATATGGAGTATCAAAGCAATTTCTCTCATTAACATATATTGCATTATACATGCAGGTACTATTAATCATGTACACACAATACCTCATACCTGTTGTGATACTATATAAAAATTGAAATGATCTATAGATATTGTTATCCTTTAAATTTATCGTGTGTAGATAAAAAAACTGTTTACCTTAACAAATATGAGGTCTGATTTTTCTTGTGCCAATGCCAATAGTCTGTTTAACTTGAACTGAGCTTGAACTGAACGACGCTTTCTTGTGGCGTTGCCAGATCTTTTTCTTTTGGCTTTTTTTAAGAAAACTAATACATCATACTATGAAATAGTACAAGTATCATATAATGACTCTATGAGAATGTGGTATATCCGAGAATTGTACAACTCAAGGCCCAACTGAAATAGAGATTTTTCAAAGCGTTCCTCTTTTAATACCGACCGACGTCAGTGACACACTGCTCCTTTTGTGGCCAAGCCTAATATAGAGACTCTGAGGCTGTGGGATCTAACCGAACAAAGACAGTTTAAATGTGCACAGTAACCTTGCTTCCTTTTCAACGTAGACTGTAAACACGAGTTATAACCAAAGCAGAGCTGACCGCTAAGCGACAGTATATAGAACAACCACTTCACGAAAAATTGACAGCCTATATTATACCGCCGTCCATACAGTCCTCTTTAGCAGTCAATTTGGTCGGTATCACATCAATATCAACATATCACCTTATGCGCCTCAAATCAGTCTTAATACTCAAGCCGCTAAATCCAAGTAGTTAAAATTAACACGCATTGTTAGTTCCTGGTCAATATCGTATCCTGGCTTGCCTTCCTGTTTTTCCTTGCCCTTGACTATTAGGCAATTTCACAATTTTCCGTGGTTGAGCCGGGTATTTTGAATACAACGCTGTCATATACCTTTCTCTAAATGTAAGTTGCTAAGGCATTCAAAAGACTTTTATTTTATCAATTCAATACAAATTTCGTCTTTGAATGAAGGAATGAAAGAAAAACATGCACCTGCTTGTGATTCTTGTGCAAACAATCGGTGAAAGGCTTTTTATTAATTAAACGTATCAATATTTGCATATCCAGTCTTAAAGTCTTACAACTATATGAAGTTGTTTGGATTTTAAATTATGCGTGTGATTTGCATCTGCACGAAACGAAAACAAATTATAGTAATTACAGTAGTTGGTCGTTTAAAGAAACAAAAATGATAAGACAATGTGATTTTCGTTCTAATTGCCAGAAAATTGATATTGATGAAACGAAATTAGTTCGAAATTGATCATGAGGATAATATATGATGCTTGGAACATAAAGACGTTTCCTGTTTCTTTAATTGTTAGTATAAATATTGATGCATGCGAAGCCAGATATTGATGCATATAGCTTTAATTAAACGATAACATTTTTTACAACTTAAATATAATCTCCAAGTATATATAATTCAGGGCAATATCGACAGATCGCTTGAGACAAAATATTAACTCTTCACGCCACAATTTGCAAAGCCTCATGGTATACTACACTACCTCTCGTAGTCACTGATCTCTTTCAATGACAGGATAGTTAAGCGGGGCTTGTGCGAGAGCTGCGTCTATATATATATATATATATATATATATATATATATATATATATATATATATATATATATATATATATATATATATATATATATATATATATATATATATATATATATATATATATATATATATATATATATATATATATATATATATATATATATATATATATATATATATATATATATATATATATATATATATACTGTTATGAATCGTTAACGAAGGTCACTTGAATTAACAACCTATTTAGAAATATATAGTTTCACTCGCATGCCACAATCTTGAACTTAACGCTTGAGACCGTTCCAGCCAATATTGCATAGTTAATTAAAGGATTAGTGTCACACCGTGAATTCGCGGGCTCAATTTGGAGACGAATAGATTAGATGATCAGGAAAGTTTTTACAATCCGTCATATATTTAAACCATCCTTTTATAATACTTGCTCTTTTTGTGTGATTTTTATCAGAAATGTACTAAACAAGGTATTTTTATCGCTACTCAGTTTGTTGAATGTTGTATTTAATTAAGTAAAACGTAAACAATAACAAAAGCCCGCAATACATGACCCTGACACTAATCCTTTAATGAATATTGACAAAATTAAAGAGAATTGTCCCAGTTCAATGTTATAAGGAGTATTCCTATCTATCAGTAGTGGGAAGATGGAAACTTTTTCTTGAACGCGGTGGGAATCCAATTACCCAATATCCTTGGTTTGGTAGTGCACCAGCACTTCCAATGTTCTACCAGCTTGCACTGTAGACACACTCAGAGAGCATCATCTTGAATATATTAAGATTTGAGATACATGCAGGTAGACATTTCTTCATCGCATATTTGATGTCATATTCAAGCCACTTTTATTACTTTATATAGTCTATTACGTAAGCAGGAAAACGAGTAGTTCCGCAGGCGCCAGAAGGGAAAATTCAAATGTGATATCGATACAATATAGGCTTCCGATTAGGCTGATTACGTACCCATCCAATTCCGTTTCCTGCACGCGAATTTAAATTAAACAAGACGCCTGCTCAGGCGTTCACACTGGCCTGAAAATAACGAGATACGTGCTATGGTGCAAAAGGCAGGAATACAAATCTTAAACCGCAAGCAAATGGACTTTTTAAAAAAATAAAAGACCTTTTCGGGAGACGTAATGGAGATCGATGCACGTGCAAATCATGCCGACCTACAGAATCGATTTCCGGTTTTTCCTAACAGCGCGTTGTTTTCATGTGCGTTCCATGGGCCGCGCTAAAAATATAAATATTCTGTAAATACCGAAATAAAAGATGAGAATCTCAAGACACAAGCTTGAAAATAACACTATAAATAATGTTTTCGATTCTGGTTCCAATAACATTATCACGAAAAGGATATGTCCAAAGGGGCCGAAGTTATGTGCGGCAAAATGTATGGCTAGTTTACATTGTTTGTTGTATTATGAAATATGATACCATACTTGTATTAAAATTCGCGTCGAACTAATGTTATTGTAAATGAGTAGACTTGCCACAAGTCGACCTCGAACGAAATGCGTTTCTTCGAGGTCGACTTGTGGCAAGTCTAGCAAATGAGAACCATACAAATGATACAATAATGGTTCTAGTTCTTGTTGGTATTTTGAACGCACGCTTTATCTTTCAGCATACTGTAGCTACCACAAATCTTTTCGTGCGGATTATATTTCGCGGGGTACTAAATATTATATTTTGTGGTTTTCGAGTCATTACACAAAGAAAAACACATTAATTCAACACGCAAGAAAGTCCAGAGTACGACACAACGTAAAATACATAGGAAACCGGCACAATTCTTTGAAAATTCAACGCAACTGTGTAAAATATAGTTTGATCACTCTGTGAAAAGCCGCCATTGCAGTTCGGAATTGTGCGCGTGCGTACAAGTGTATAGGCTAATAAACGAACAATGTACCACAAGCATGGCATGAGTCGGCTAGTACGTACATAAATACGTAATTTGTTGCTATTGTATTTGAATCATGGAACGGAGGGAATCGATGGCATTTTGGCTTAATCGTTGCACCTTGAGCCTGCGATGCGCTAACGCAAACTCGATTTCTCGACTACGAAAAAAACAGAAAAAGAGGGATTTAAGACACTTGGCCTACAGGCCAGTGTAATCAGGTTCGTATATGTGAGTCATGACTGTATATAACTTCGAATTCATTCTCATTTGAAAGTCAAAGTTTCCTCGCGTGCCCTGCCAATACTAGGTCTAGGTCATACGTAGGCTGTGAGAAATTACATGCTTCTTAAGATTTTTATCAAATTTATTTTGAATCTAAAAAAGTACGGGTGGAAGTATAAATCCAAATATGACCTGTAGTATTTTGTCTCTATTAGTTGAGTGTTAATTATTTTCCCGCAACGTAAAATCAAAGAGTAGATTATTGGCTAATTTCAGTAATATTCTAATTCCTTCTCGATTTAAGAAGTTTATTGATAAACTTGTTTTCAAGTATTTGGGTTTGAAAGTATGCTGATAAAGAAATTATGACCAAATTAATTTGTTATCGTTTTTCTTCCTATGGGGGAAGAAATTCTCGATTATCAAATAGCTTGTTGTTTTTTTTGCTCAACATATATAATATAACTTTAACTGATGTGGCATCAAGTCAAGAAAAGCCATGATATGGCCTTAGTTACGCAAGAAGGTTGATAGCCTCCCTTGGAAATCAGCCTTTGCTGTACGGGTTAGCGTAGTAAAATAAAGTTTTACCTACCTTACCTACCTACCTAGCAATAGTTTATCAGAAACGTCATAGTAATTGCTTATAATTATAAAATTCGTGAGTCGTGATCGAATTTGGCGGAATTTGTTCAGTTGTCGATGGTTCTTGAAATTGAATCACAGGGGACCCAGGCTCTATTTGCCAACGCCCGCCTTTTGGGTCTCTGTGATTGAATCAGTGACCGCGCCTAAATGTCAAGAAACGCGGTGAGGTGGTCGCGTGAAAAGTATACCCGTTCGCAGGTTAGATCATGTCCAGCACCTAACCTGCGAACGGGCATACTCTTGGTACGAGATTGGTAAAACTGCTGTAATTAGAACAACCTTGCACCTAGAGCCTGAGTACGAGATTTAATGAGATAAGAGCTCCAAGGTGTGACGAGGATGCCCTTGCAGCAACTAATGACAACTGATTTACCAACTCTCAAGACCCAAGAGTAGGATTTCCGAATTACGTGTATTAAAAGAGTCTTTGCCGACTTTCTTCTACCGTGATCAGAAAAGTATTAATTTGATTATCAGGGCAGACTATAGTCAATACTATCGGCTTGTATATTGGGACTGCTTATGATTAAATTTTATCCTAAGAAAAGATTCACGCCATATATATTTAAACTAAACGGAATAAATTCTATTTTAATTTCTGTTATAAATAGTACTATTATAAATACCATCAGAAAGTATACAATGTAAATTTAAATTTATAGTACATGAAGCGGGACATAGTATACATATTAAACATCTTAGTTAGACTGCTATGATAAATATAGGAACATTCTCAGATGCAAAAGGTTAATTAAATATATTAACATGTATAACGTTTTTTCTATGTACACTTTCATCGAATTCTTGGACATTCTCAGTTCTCGCTGATATAAATTGACAGTCCTTCATGCTGACATACGCAGTAATTTTTCCCGACATTTAGTACTCGCGTGTTCAACATCTTTGGCGAGAACTTTCAAAGATTTCATGTCAAATTGTGAGAAAACATTTACACCTGAAAACTGGTTGACTAACATACCCTCCTTCAGGCATGACGTAAGTGACGTCATAGTTCCTGAAAGGCGTTTGATGAATTTAGCTGGTGTCCAGTCCTTCGCGTCAGGACGTTTCGCGTACTCTTGAATGACTGCGAGTTGAAGATGAGATAAAGTCAGAGCTCTAATTCCGCAACGGGGGGACTTGGACGAGTGAAACAAATGACGTAATGCGTGTAAACAAACGCGTCCACAGATAAATTGTTCAGCGTTCATAATTCCGCTTTCTAAAGTTTTGTACGAAAGCCGCCAAGATTCGTCTTGGAAATAACGATTTGGCTGCGCAATTGCATAAATTGTCGAGATAGAATCTCCCTTTTCTCCCTGGCCTTTGAGAAGTTCTGATTTAGAGTCCAGTCCTTTGACGGCGCTTTTTGTTAGTTTAATAGCGGGAATTAACGAGACAGTAAAAAACCCGGTGTCAGGGATATCGACATATATACGAGCTTGGTTACCGGAGACCCGGTACACTAGACCAACATTCCGATGTTTGTTCCACACGTCACGGACTGCTCGCCCCAGGGCCGTGGTGAAAACGTCGAGCAAAGTTCGTGTGTTTAAATACTTTGGTTCAGTTGTACTTCGTTCACTGCACACGTCATCCCATGAGACATTGTTGTATCTAGAGAATTTTTAAAAGTTGTTTTAGTAAGACGTTTAACTATGTTAGACATGAAAACTACAGTAGTTTACTATCGCAATGAAGTGGTGCCTGAAAAATCAAAGAAATTCCGAAAAATGACTTGAAATTCCTGCAATTTTTTAAACTGGCCACAAAATTATCAATCAAACGCTCTGTGATCAATGTGTTACCATCTCGAATTGAAAATTATTGTAGCTACTGTTTAATGTTAGCAACAGTAAATGAAACTTATGATTAATTGTACAAATGATGTGTTGGTAATTATTGTATGATGATAATAATTGTGATAGATGTTAATTATTAAGATGATCGATCGTTATTATCATGATTACCATTATTTACGGCTGTTGGTGAAGATTATGTGGTGGCAAGGTTAATGATGATAAGAATTAATGATGGTGGTGATCAGTCTCATATATATATACTACTGATGATTATTAATAATCAATTATAATTTGATATGATCATCACCAATAATAATTACATAGAACAAATATCATCAATCATACCTATGCATATCATCTTGCAATTTGATTTGAATCCTTCCGTTAGATGCATCACCGTCCACCTCATAATCTCTTTTAGAAATGTGTTTGAGTTCACAAGTCAATTTTATTTCACTCGTTGAGACCATTTCACAACGATGATCATCAAATGACATTGGATCAAACTCAAATCTTGCGTCATAGTTTGCCAGTGCACGAAATATTTCATTGATGTATTCCGCAACTTGCTGATATTTACTTCTTGAAATTCTCAATTCTCTCCTGTAATTGTGGTGAACAACACGATATATTTCTTCGTCACTTTCTTTAAATCCTGGCGAGTGGCTAAACCTGCAGAAAATAAATCATATGGGTTAAAAAAAGATCGTTACCATTGGCATTGCCGAGATCTGTTGGGATTCACACAGGGATTGCCGGAAGTTGCTGAGGGCAAGGGGTGCAATTGGTTAACAAGAGGGCATACTCCTTAACAAAAGGGCACCAATGAAAATGAAAGGGCGTCATGACCCTACATTCGTGTCATCCTCCCTCCCCCCGTCACCAATTTTTTTCGGACCGAATACAATTATTTAGGCACAATTCCTCCGTAATTTCTCGCCAAAAATTCTATAAGTAATGCTTTCCGTTTCACCTTCCGCCAAATGGATAAAAATTTTGCCGAATTCCTGACGACTGGGGGGTGGAACACCCCCACACAATCCTCGGACGACGTTTAATTCTGTCTGTTGTAAAAGTTTTGTGCACCCGTTACACTCATAGTCTGCACCCGCACTGCACCTACAAAGTTGAAAATGCAAAAGGCAAGGGGTGCACTTGCCCCGCTGCACCCGTGGTTTCGGCATCTCTGGATTCACATAGTTCACATTGAGATCATAGTTGACAATATTGTAGCGAGACAAGACCAAATCGCAGGGCGGTTGATTTCGAGGAAATAATTGCGTACGTTATATGCTTTTAGTTTCGTAATGTAGCTTTTGCAAAGTACTTTAATTGAGATTCGTGTAATGATAGAATTGTGTCAGCCTCTTCTCATTCTTCTTTTATTACAGAAAACGTACGTACTAACAGTAACATCAAAAAAAGTTATATATTTTTATCTATCGATGTCACTTTACACTATCAAAGTTTCTGTGATCACAGACACAGTAGGAATTTTGCATCGGTAAATTCTAAGTTTTGAACGATTTGTAAGAAATGTTTGATGGAACTGGCACAGTGTTAAACATTGAGTATGTTTCCTCAATCATTTCACTTTATCAGAAATCCTTCAAAACGTAGAATTTATACCTATATGCAAAATTCTTACTTTGATAGTGTAAATTAAAATCAGCCTTTATACTCTGCCCCGCGCTTAAACATTGCTTGGGTAAGGTTGATATGATCCAATGATTCTCGCTAACATAAATGCAGAGACCGAGTTCATTGGCCTCGATGTCGGTTGGTAAGGCACTTTGAAGTTCATGGCAATTCGCCAAATATCCTAATAAAACGACATCTAAATTTTGTTAATTAAATAACTATAACATTACTCATATAAGAAAGACCTTCGTACTACAAAAGTCTTTATAGTCTGTGGGCGTCCGCACCAGAATCGCAACTTGGCACAAGCTTTGATGATTCTGAGATATATATATATACTTCAATATAGTGACTTCTTGTGTTCTCGCCATGCAGTCTATGAAGTTGTTTTGTTTATTTAGAAATCTCAGTCTATATAGATTTAATATAATAGTCATATTTACGAACATATACGAATATTTCCTAATTATTATTTGGGCATTAATTGAGCAATATTTTAACCAGTTTGCCGAATAAATTCACTTTCTGTTAGTATTTTTGCACAAGTGAATATAACAAATCTTACAAGTTGATTTGTCAAATTTGACGTATGAAGCTGTTATATTCACCTACAGGCGAATATAACAAAACCGAAATTTTCAAAATGGCGGCTACTGAGCCGTTTTGTGAAAGTTACTGATAAAGAAATAAGCGAAATTAAAATAAATTCAGTCCCAAAAAACACAAAAGACTTGTGTAAAAATACTAAAACAATTATTCGCCTCAGGCTCGGTGATTATCGGGCGAATATTCACCTCGACTTCGTCTCGGCGATTCGGCGAATATTCCCCGATAACCACCTCGCCTTCGGCGAATAATTGTTAAATATTCTTGCAAACGCAAAGAATTTAAAAAGAATTCCACTTTACATCAGACAGAAACACTTTAGTTTTTTTTACGTCAACCAACATTGGTCACAGACTCATAATTTGGTATTGTCGGCAGGTTTTGACGTCATTCATATATGTTTTGGCGGTTATCGGCTGACATGGCAACGTATAAAGCTTGCCCAATATCACCACACGACGGAACCAAAGCTGACACGACAGCAACAGGGAACAAAGATTGTGATAAATGCATCATCTTGCATTATTACAACTTGCATTTATTACTCGGCATTTAATTGCTTCACAAAATCAAGGGAAAAAACACACATAAAATCTGATTCTTAGGCTATAAGCATTGCAATAACATGGTGAATCGTGGGGGGGGCATGGATTATACTCGGCATGCAAACCAAAACGGCTAAGGCTATTTACCGCTTGAGAGCAGGAAAGTTCAATGTCAGTTGATTTCATTGAAGCTAGGGCAACTAGAACGGATAAATATTTGTCGGATAAACACATCTTGCCTACTGCCTGGCCAGGAATTGATTATAGTAAAGAGTCTGGTTTTCTTCCAAACTTCAGACTCAGTATTTTCAGATCTGTGCTAATATAATTGAGACTACAATGGATTCTGTTCATGTCGACATTTTAAGTCATAAAGCAAACTGACAACAATTACAGCAATTGGCATTGTCTACACAATAGACGTGTACATAAATATTTCTGTAATATATTACCGAAGTAAGGTAACTTACCTAAGACCACGTAAAGAGAACTGTCTTCGAATTCTCATTTTCTTGAATATTTTCACAGTACGCCTGCAGTCGTGACCAAACATATGTACTGAATGTTTACTGTGAAACCCTTGTTTATGACTTTAACTTCTCCTCGTCGTATATCCAGTACAAATATGGCAACATATTTATCGCTGGACGTATATCACGTTTACAAACAAGGCTTGGTCTTCCGACATCGCACCGCGGTGCTGCATGCCCACATACTTTTTCAGTTTCAAGCACTTGACGGACTTCCTGTGCACTTTTATCTTCTTAAAGACTCAAAAACCTGCTTTCAAACCGATGAATAAAATCGCAATAAATGGTAAGATAATAAAAAGACGGTTAATTAATAAAATATTACACGCTTGTTAGTCATTTTTGCTTTAAAAGATTCTCTCAAAGATTTTATAAAAACAACCCTGCGACCCACGCCCTCACGACACGCCGTATACATGAAGTAAATAAACCATTTACGGTCACATGCATGAGGTATCATGTTGGCCGATCTCGAAATATCAGACGATTGAAAATTCGAAGAAGAATATAGTCTAAGCAGACTGTATCTCGCCCGAGCAGACTAAAAAGAATGTTCAAAAGATAGTAATTAAAAAAAAACTTCGAACTCTAGACGATGCAACTATATGAACGAAGTCGAAGGGTCTATACTCCTGTACTATAGTATAGTCGCTTGAAACGTCGAAACGTTCTTTTTGTATTTTTTAGGTCGTTGCATCATGTACAAAAGTAGTGTGCAGATTCTATTCTTCGACCGCTAACTATATACTCACGTCTGGCACCCATGCACCGTACCGTTCGAAATAATCTAAGAAGTATAGGCTAACAACTGTACTCTGTACAGTAGTCTGTAGACTAGTGAGATATTAAGTGAGGTCTGATTTAAATTACGTACAGAACATTCATTTGTATTCTGTGCTGATAGCAATACCATGCATGAATGCACACTAGTCACACTACACATCGCCGTTGATACTGTAATGTAAATATATTTATCCACAAATCACAAATTTGCACCTCCGAACGGGATCAAACACTAAACTAGAGAAACCTTATAGTTATAGAGTAGACTATATATACAGGGTGTATAAAAAAAATGTACACCCTTTCAAATTCAAATTAGCCATAACTTTTAAATATTCGTTGCTCTGCAGTAAGCTGGCCATTTTATATCTTATGGCTATGCAGACTTGAATAATGCTTAATTTAAACATTTTCCCGTTGAGTTGTGTATTTGTTCATACAAATAGACGTTATCCTAAATTCCCATGTGCAGAAGACCTTGTGTTTTCACGCATTCATTAATTCGAGAAATTATACGGCTGTCAAATTACTATACAATAGGTTACGGTTAATTTGAATTTGAAAGGGTGTATATTTTTTTATACACCCAGAGGTTGATAAAATGCATCATAACTGCAACAGATAGAAACTTGTTAAAATAATCAATCAATTGCAGGTGGGCTGTTTTAATTAACCTGCAAATTTCTTTTTAAACTGTTTAAAATGACACAATTTTCAATTAGGTACAAAGCCAATTCATGAAGCACTCTTTGAACTAATTATTTATCGGCGCTTTTCAACAGCAAATCCTTATTGGTCACGACTTACCAGGTCATAATCAGACATTGTTACTCACAGTTGGATGTTGGATTCACTGCATAAATTAGACCAGGCGACAGAATCATCGTTTAGTACCGAGCTGAAACGACTTTTTCCGGTCACAATGCAGTTAAAATACAAGACTATTGATCCAACTGTTTATTTCAAGATCAGAGAGCACAGAGTGAGCACTTCGTACAAAACGGTAAGTCGAAATAGCTGTTCACACTGACATGTCATGTCATGTCATGTCATGTCAGAATTATAACTTTTCTAGCCATCCAAATTTAGCCTCTCAAACCTGACGTCTTACCTAAACGTTTTATATGCACGCAGTTTTCATAATACATTTAAATTTATTAAATACAGTTTAACATTTGCGAATGCAAATCTCGAGTTCTGAAGTGTGAAACTCTGAGAGCAATGTATTTTACAAGATTTAAAACACTCAATAATTCACTGATGACGAAAATTAAGGCGGAGGAAGTCACTACCGTCTCGGTAGTTGTATATTTGATAAAAAATCATGTTTATTTATACCAACTTTATAGCTTTGATTTACTCGGCTAAGACATCGTTTATTTCTAAAATTACTTCGCCAATGAAATCATCAGAGGGGTCGTTTTTTAAGCCATTTAAAACACTCGCACTCATAAAGCACTCCTGCATGTTCATGTTTTAAATAGTACATAAATTTTACTTTGCCATGCACAGAATCACACACAAAGCGCCAACACAACAACGTCGTAGTGTGCATGTCCCAGCCATTACTCATTAGTTCCCAGTCCTTACACAAGCTTGTGAGAATGTGAGTTGATTGAACTTTTCTTTTCTAGAATGCCCACCATGCATACCTCACTGATCCTTGTTTGCATCGCGTGGATTTCGCTGAGTCTTATGTGGTTGAGTACCTCAGCTGAACTAAAGGCAAGTAATTCTACAGTAACACTATAGTAATCTCCACTTATACTGTATAGATGGGTTAGGGTTAGGTCACTAAGTATAGGATATGCGTGATAGCTGAAATACCTTTCTATTGTAGAAAGTCAGTCTTCGGGGTTATGATCCTGGAAAATGTAATAAAGGAAATCATGGCAAGTTAGTCATGGTCAAAAATCGTGAGGACAATGACAAACTGTTGGTCTGTGCTGAAGAAAATAAAGTTTATCTCTGGAAACCAACTGATGGTAAGGTTTCATATTGCATTCTTATTATACAAGATGACACAACTCACTGAAATTAATCAGGATTTTGCAAACGAATCTTTACAAGGTTCCAATCCAACGGGAGAGTATTTCAATCCTGCGTATGACTGTTCAGATGCTCTCAACAAAATCTCTGAGGCGAAGGATGGGTTTTATTGGATCAAGTTATCTGGAAATATTCCAAAAAAGGTACTTCTATATATCAGCCATGCTCGCTGCAATTTATGATCGTGATAACTGGTTTACGCCTTTACTCTACAACACTTTTTGTTCTAGGCGTATTGTGACATGAGCACTGACGGAGGAGGCTGGGTGCTAATTGGTCGTAAAACAAACGCGGTCACGTGGACAGTACCATCTAATAACAAGACAGTTGAACCATTTGGCGAACCTCATTGGTCCAGCTCACTTGGTGATGCTCCAATCGTCGACTTCCGGGTTCAACTAGCAACACAAGAAGATTTTAGTGCAACAAAGGCTCATTGGTGGGTACATTATCAAGAAGAAAATTTAAATCGTAAATCTGTTCTTTCGAAAGTTGTCTTGCGTTGAGCGGTATTCTGTTTACAAGCAATCATCACTGTTTAGTGTTGCTTACATGTATTAGGGCCAGATGTCCTGTAAATCGTCAATTTTGTTACACAACATAAAATTAACATTAGAACTCAGGAGAAATAAGTTTGTTTTCTAGTTAATTATTGATCATGGTGGTCATTGTGGATGCATAATAAACATAATCATAATATAAATTAAATGGATGGTAATGGTGATGTCATGAATAATCAGTGAACTCTATATATATATATATCTGGAACGATAACATTCAGTCATTTGATTGCGAAAAAAATGAAGCCTCGATACCAGTCTTTCACGCGGATTGGACGTCAGTCTCAGTCCCTCAAACGTCAGGTTTACGCGGATTGGACGTCAGTTTCATTCCCCCTCTTGCAAACCGTTGCACGGCCAGTATAAATTTGAACGCAATCACGAAAAAAAAATTAAAAACATGGCCAACTCAATGCAATACATTTTAGGAGCAAACTGTTTTGCTCCTAAAATTTACTGCATTGAGTTCGCTGTCGGAAAAAAGTCGAGGAAAACTTCCCCGTGTGGAGAAAAGAATCACTTTTTCAAATATATTGTGTCGTACTGTCGTTCTGGATGCACAAGGAAAGAGATATTCTTGCGAGAAAATTTCATTTCACAGGTAGGTAAATTGACTTGCAACTGTGACTTTGCCGTTGCCATTTTTCGCGATTGTTTGAATTGTTTTTTAGTTTACCAGTTTTATAGTTTTTAGTCAATACACTGGTACGTTATTTTTTAAAGAATTTATTGTGTGGTCGGAATTTGCCTGCCAGCAAAATGTAAATGAATATGTACGTGTGTTTGAATATAAATTAGACCATATGGGCTTAGTAAAAAATTATTTTAATAACTACGTTTCGGAGTATAACTCCATCTTCAGGTTAAAAGTGAATAAAGATATAAAAACTGTGATAAAAACTTTCAAAACAATTACAAATTTTATATGTAAGTGATTTTTAATACTGTAAGAAAGTTCTTGAACAGTTGATGACGAAGACAATGACGAATACTTATGTCGTGATTTTTTTGTCGGCTTCACTTTTCGCTCGCTGTTATCGTTCCAGATATATATATATATATATATAGAGAGTTCACTGTGAATAATACGTACGATGAGTGCTTTAAAATTCTTTCCATAACTGTATAGGTCATTCAGACTAAAGACCAAACGTCCTTTAAAGAATCTTTTGATGCTCAATGAAGGAGGATGTGGTAGACTATCGCCAGGAATTGGAAATATTTCTTATGTTAAAGATCTTGAGACTAACGAGATTGTCACGACAAAATTTCGTTGTTCACAATTCAGTTCTTATCATTCCAAGTCAGACGGTTTTGGTTGGGTAAGTTTTTTTCAGGCCACAAAATATTTCATATTACAATCTTGTTCCTTCACATATTCTAAATTCGAGTTAAGAAACTCTGACGTTTAATTCCAGAATTGCAGAATTACATGAAGTTAAATTTATTATAGGACATGTTGAACAATTGTTTGAACCGTCGATGTTCACCTGGTTTTGCCTTCCACAAAAAGTATCCAGTACAAATTGACTATTCAGGAGCTTTTAGGTAAGTATCACACTGGGGAAGATGGTTCTATGGCGGTTTGTGACTGCTTCTTTGTTTGGAGGAAATCGCAGTGAATGAACGCTATTCGTTTGACATGCGTACATCATGGCAAAACAATGATCTATAATGCTGCATATTTAATCTTTTCTACAGCTATAGTTCGTCTGGAAATACTTCAGGAATCACCCATGAGTCAACCTCATTTATTGGCTGTGAAAATCATAAAGTAAGTTTCTCTTGGTATTATTTTAGTAATAATCCGTGGTAACGTTAAAAGCAAAACATCAGTAATATAATAACAGTTCATGAGTATAAATTAGCCAACCATATTACTTTACCTTGCTCACACGATGATACTGGAGACTTGGTCAGTAAAATATATTGATCTAGTCCTGGCACTGATCAAAATTAATTCAGACCAAGGAGTTGGTCAAAATTAAATTACTTTACTCTAATGAAAGTCTATGAGATTTCAAACCCTCAAACCCGAATTGATTTTCTCCCTGCATGCAGTTAGACCCGTTTTGATTCACATCACAAAGGTCACAAAAAATTGGTATGATTTTTCTTACCACTTCAGTGCTGTGGTTGTTTTGGTCCTGTTGGTGGCAAGAAAAATTACTGTGGCATTGAATGCAGAGCTAAAAATGGTGGAACTATTGAAAAGAATGTCTACACATGGTTTTGGGTGAGATCATCACTACCAAAAAGAGTCTGGAACAAATGTATGGAGTACAAAGTGACTGTTGGTCAAGGAAAAGTGGTTTGGTACAAGTTATACAATGGAAATGCTGTTCCAGTGATGGTCAGTCATTTTACTTTCCTTCATTTATTTCTATGATAATAACTATTAACATCGCTTAAATATTGTGGTTTGGGAATCGTTTTCTTTTTAACTTTTGAAATAAAAGTGCAATAAACGACCATAACTTTTTTGTGTCTTTTTAGGGTCGATGTGATCAGAATGAAGTTCTTCTGAACGATGGCGTAAGGCATTGTAGATATAAGATATGTTAAACACAGTGAAATGAATACAACTGGCCTCCAACTGGAAATTTGAAGCCAAACTTGAAAGCCATGCAGTCCCATTCATTTCACGCATGCAAAGAGCGCGGCCAATCAGTCCATTCAGGAACATGAATATGTATTTTTGAAAACCATCTTAAAATTTACACAAAAAGCTAGCTTTTAACAGCGCTTAAATTAGCTTCTTCTTAATGCATTTATTTATGTAAACCTCCTAGTAGACTTTACTTTTAGTTTTTTTCTCATTTTCTAATAATTGTTTACGCGAGAGAATCGCGAGGCATAAACACGTGGGTCTTGATCACCAGACACGCGTGTCTGGGTGTCAAATTTGGCTTCAAGGAAGGCAGTTTATCTGAAGGTAGCGTTCCAGTTATATTCATTTCACTGGCTAAACATAATACAAAAATGAAGCGTAATATTTTTTCCCGTTAAAACCAGGTTGAAACCACTAATCTCATATATAGAACTGGACAAACTAAATATGCCAGCCTACTACGGTCTACGGTCATATTCCTTTACAGATTGTTGTTGTCCCAGATAGTGCCGCTGCCCAGAAAGTACCGCCTGTGCCAGGGTTACTGGAATACCGCAAGGACACCAAGAAACTTTATGTAAGATCAAATGAAACATGGAATGTGATTGGTGAAGACAAGAAGGTAACATTGACTTTGATATTCCCATTAAATAATTTCCCATGCCAAAATACTGGAGATTTAAACAATACAATGCAATTTATTTAAAGTCAAAAGCATAGGGAATGGTTGCACAATTTCCCGAGCCATAAGCTCATGTTAAAAATGCTTGACTATATCTGCTCTATATGTACAATTATAAAATAGGTAATTAGACTATTTAATTAAACAACTAGAACTAAATTTAAAATATTAATTATAAACGTTAAAAGTTGTATACATCTCGCACACTTACAACCCAGATTTGACTTGTCAGTAAAATCTATTGTAGAAATTAGAGTACAAAACTCGGTTAATTAACGACTTAGAGTTTTTAATATTAGTTATATTAGTTAGTTATACTTAAGCCGGCTAGTACGAAATCCGAACGAGGTATTACAACTGACCACGGTTAATAGAATTAGATTAACCGTGAACTGACTAATTTAATATCTTGATATGTTCTATACCAATTAGCTTAATATAAAATTGGAAAAACTGGAGAAAAATGTGGCTGAACTCAAAACACGGTTAGGAAGTGCAAACAAGACTGTCAACGATCATATCATGGACAAAGGTTGGCAATGCAGTTATTTTGTATCGTTATTTAGTCTAATTAAATTATCCCTACACACTTACTCACAATCTTAATAAAAAGTTCAACATGTACAATGTTATTTGACTACGATAACTTATCGTACTATGAAGTATGAAAAGTGCCGGTATATAGTTATACTAAGGTTACAATATCTAATTTGGTTGTTCGATGTAAGTGAGAATTTCATGGTAAACATTTATCTAGGCTTCAAATGCAATTGCTCCCTGCAAAGATAGTATCATCACGGAGGGGGAATGGGGGATAGAGAGTCGGGGAGTCCGGTGCCCCCTAGACTTTCCAAAGTCCGCGGTTCGTGGTTCCTGGAAGCGACGGACTTTTGTCACCCGCAAGCGCGCCAAATTCACCGGTGCATATTTGCTCCGGTGACGTCAGTGAATGCTCATTATTATTATGAACAAAACAATTATAACTAGTGAAATCGACATGGTGAACGCCCACTATATCATAATTGATTTTCGCGCCAAATTTTTCAGTAAGATTCAAAATCAGGCAAGTGACGCAAGTCGCTCGCTTCCGTCTTTCTCAAGCGCTCCCTTCTTGCTACGCGCGGTCCCTAGCGAGCGACTTGGGCAAGTCTAGGTGCCTCCTTACACTTTTCTTCAGGACCAATTTTGTAATTCTTTCAAAACTGAGCCGAAATTGGGGGTCGCGTAAGTCGCGTAACCTCTCGATGTTTTTATCCACGACATAAATATTTCAAACGTATCTAAATTGCATGAAATAGCGTTTCGCAGACCCTAAAAATAGAAAATTTTCCTGGGGACGATGTCCCCGACCGACCAGACGATTAGGTCCTCCCACTGGTTTGGGGCTGGCTACGCCCCCTGATTATGATTTCAAATCAATCCTCACAACCACCCGCTACTGCTTTGAAAAGTGTTTGTTCTAGATATTTGGCTCTGAACAGTTTTAGGAAAGGTTTGCAATTCACATCTTGACAACACATTCTTATTCTGTTAGTTCAATCCACCACAAGCAAACCTACATCGGCAACAGCGACACCCACCAAAGTCAGAAGTTGTTCAAGTTTATACAAATCTGGTGAAAGAAAAGACGGTGTTTACACTATTAATCCTGATGGCCTTGGATCTTTCAAAGTCAGATGTGATATGCAAACAGATGGTGGAGGGTGGGCAGTGTTCCAAAGAAGACAAGACGCAAGTGTAGATTTCTATCGTGGATGGCAAGATTACAAAAATGGTTTTGGTGATCTTAACGGGAATTTTTGGCTTGGGTTTGATAAAATACATCGTTTGACAAAATCAGGACAAAATGTTCTAAGACTGGACTTGATGGATTGGACTAACGACACAGCGTACGCAAAGTATGGATCATTTTCTGTGACGTCTGACGGTTATAAACTGAACCTTGGTAGTTTTTCAGGTGAATATGATTTGATAAATATGAATTTTATACAATACAGCACAAGTCTTAAGGTCATGTTACATGCAGCAGGCAACTTTTGCAGCACCTACAGCAATGCAATTTCGGACATAAAGCCATGTTATCTAAAACGTAGTCATATATGACTGAAAAATGTTGGCGGCAGAGTAAAATGTAGGCCATACTCACAATTTCTCAGTGACTACGTTTAAAAATTTGTATTATACTAGTACGCAAGTATGACGGTGTTTTAATAATCTATGAAATTATAAAGGCTGTAAACCCAAATCATGCACAGACAATTTTAAACGAAAACATTAAAATATGCTCAAAAAGGTTAGCCATTGAAAATTGGACAATACCAAAAAAATGGCAAACACTGTTTAAAATTAAACTTGTTGATATGATAATATACACATTTTAAACTTATCACAAACTCTAAAATCCCAAATTTTTTAAGGACTTTTATATATCTAAGGTAATGCTGGTGATTCGTTGAAATATCACAACGGAATGAAGTTCACTACTTACGATAGAGATAATGATCAAGGTGACGGCGAAAACTGCGCTGTGTCTTGGCAAGGTGCTTGGTGGTATAAGAGCTGTCAACACTCCAACCTCAATGGTCGCTACCTCAAGGCAGGGGAGACTTCTGCGAAAGGAATAAGATGGTGGCACTGGAAAAGCGACAACAGATCCATGAAGAAAACTGAGTTGAAAATACGTCCTGCTGGATTTTAGAAATCCCAGGGACACGTTTTCTTTTCAAACACACACTGAACAATTGTGTAGTTACAAGAGAAAAAGAAGTTAATTCATCGTGCACACTACATAACGAGATTCTTTTAGATAAAGATCTGTACAATATAGATACTATAATCACTGTATGTATATCGCCAATTACAGTCGTAACACTAATTAAAAGTTGTAAGAGCTTCTGGCATCATGTCTGGATTTTTTATATGAATTTGTCTGTTTAAAAACTGCTAAATAAATAAAATGGTTTTTGTCCCAGACAATTCACCAATGACGGTTGACGGTTTCTTCAGTGAGAATGTCTCTGCGAGGTATTTACATTTATATGAATAATAGTAAAATATTGTAGTCTAAAGAAGAAAAGTACTAGAATCTAATTAAACATATTCTATATACAAATCGTCCTCCCAACGCACCCGTTCGTCATCTTGTTAGAATTTGAATTTCAAAAGCTTTACGTATTTCCGTCCCCCTTGATTGCATCATTATGGTCGGTAAAAGTTTCAAGGTCATTGGCGGTTCCTTGAGCGATGTTTTGTCGTGAGTGTTAAGAGGTACTAAAGTTATTTATTGTTGAGATATAAAACAAAATTTAAGATTAACATTAACTTCGACTGCAGATTCCAGCCTCAATATGATTCCCATAATTTCAAAAATACTAACAATTGAGACTATGATGGACTCTGCTCATGTCATTTTAAGTCAAAAAGCAAACTGACAACAACTACAGCGGCTCTATACTATACACGTCAGTAAAGATTTCTGTAATACAATACCGAATAACTGGCTATAGTAACTCCAGACGAAGGGCCTTCGCTCGAAACGTCGAAATTCCGGTCCCCTTGTATTTTTCAGGAAGTTGCATCCCTACAACGAAAGCTTTTTAATACTTAGTAATACCTAGGTCTAAGACTACATAAAGAGAACTGTCTTCGAATTCTCATTTTCTTGAATATTTTCACAGTATACGCCTGCAGTCGTGACTAAACGTGACTAAGAATATAGTCTGCATGTGAAAGCAGACTGTCCTTCGCCCATGCAAGCAGGCTAAGAAGAATATTCAAATATAGTAATTTTATAAACTGCAAACTCTATAGATGATGCAACTATATATATTGATACGGATCGAATTGTTCTTTTTAGGTCGTTGCATCAATACATCATGTACAAAACTAGTAATGTGCAGATTCTATTCTTTGATTAGTGCCAACTATAATGGCACCCACCTTTCGAAATAATTTAAAAAGTATATATAGCAACTGTAGAGTGAGATATTAAGCGAGGTTTGGTTTAAACAGACCATTGAATTATGTGTTGATAATGATCTGGCCATAGGCATGCATGAAGGCAGACTTTATACAACGCCGTTGATAATGTAATGTATATTTATCCACAGATCACATATTAATTTTGTACTTCAGAACGGATTCAAACACAAAAAAGACCTTAGACCTAAGACTAGGTTGATAAAATAACTTTAAAAAGAAATCGGTTAAAATATAACCAGTAAGTTAGTTTTCTCGCCAGATTCAAAATGAAACTGCATGAGGGAGAGACTTTTGCAGTGCGTTTATTGCACAATTCTGAATTTGGTCTAAGTTGATAACTATATATATATACATCACAGCTTCATGGCCAACCAAGATCCTGGGTACGAGGTTGCTTCATGGCTACAACATGACATATATTAAGTCAACCTTGCATTCTGGTTCCTTGACTGTACAAATATTGGTTAAAATAACTTGCAATGAATTAGTTGTCGCACTAGATTCAAAATGAAACCGAGACAACCAATTGCAGGTGAGCTGTTTTAACTTGCAATTTCTTTTTCAACATGCAGTGTTTATCGCACAATTTTAATTCAATTAGGTCTACTAACGCCAATCCATGAAGGACTCCCGGCGGCCAATAAAAGATTTTGGAAACTCTCCTAATTCTTAATTCCAACAATTTTCCGGCCTATAGTCATAGAATTAGTCCACCATCAAGGCATCAACCTAAACATAAGTGTAACCAAACTAATTCATATGAATATAAACTATATATGAAATATATCAAATCTATATGTTTAATCCTTGACCTTGTTTAAACCTATATATAACAAATACACATCATTATACACAATATACACTCTATAATACCCTCTATACAGTCAGCATGACTAAATAGTAATTTTGACAATTTAATTGCACTGGTATACCATATATTGACCGCGATATATATTGTCTATGTATTCATTGTTAGTACTTTCATTACAGTTATGATGATATAAGGTAAAATTGGGTGTTTATTATTATGCCAGATTTAGTAAAATTGCAGACTGTTTATCATCTGAACGAATTGTTTATCGGCGCTTTTCAACAGCAAATCCTTATTATCACCACTCACCAGTTCATAAACAGACATTGTTACTCACTGTTGGATGTTGAGTTCACTGCATGCATAAATTAGACCAGGCGACTGCATCACTGCTGTAATACCGAGCTGAAACGACTTTATCCGGTCACGATGCAGTTAAAATACAAGACTCTTGAATCAACTGTTTATTCGAAGATCAGAGAGCACAGACTGAGGACTTCGTACAAAACGGTAAGTCAAAATTGTTGTCATACCTACAATGTCGGAATTAACGTCCCTATAGCCTTTCAAATGTATAACCTCTCAAAGGCCTGGCGCCATACCCAAACTTTTTAGTGTACGTAGTTTTCATAATACACTTTATTTAATACAGTTTAACCACTTGTGTAAAACTCTCACTGAGAGCAATGTATTGCATACAAGATATAAATTTTACTTTGCCATAAGCTTGCGAGTTGATCGACTAATTTTTCTTTTCTAGAATATTCAACGTCATGCATACCTCACTGTTCGTTGTTTGCATAGCGTGGATTTCGCTGGGTCATATGTGGTCGAGTACGTCAGCTGAACTGAAGGCAAGTTATTCTATAGTAATATACTAGTGATTTACACTTACTGTAGAGATGTCCCGCCTTAATTTTTCTGCCCGTAAGTCTTCCCTAAAAAGGCGGCTGCTACGCACGCTATACAGTATAAGTCCAGACAAAATGTTGGTATTCATGCAGCTACAATTTTTTCTTTACAAAGACTTAATATGCAGATTCAAGCATATAGGTTACGATAGCTGTATTCACGTATAGGAATATAGCTGGGATATATAGCCAATTAAAAAAGGTTGTCCTAGCTTTGCAAACTCTTAAACCTTAAACTACTGTATATACAATAAGTGCGTAAAGCTTGATGGGAGCACAAGTTTCAAGCTTAGTATAGTTGAATATTGCAGCTATTTGTGAATGAATTGTTCTCCTATAGATATATAGCATTGTCTCTATGAAATGAGCCCCATATATGATTTCTAAACTGATTAAATGATGCTCCCATCATGCTTTGCACGCTTAAAGTTTAAGGTTTAAGGTTTAGAGTTTAAGGTTTGCAAAGGAGAATCTTTTTTGAATTAGCTGTATCTAATAGCTGAAATACGTAATGCTGGATATATACTTTTCTAGAAAGTCAGTCTTCGGGGTTATGATCCTGGAAAATGTAATATAGGAAATCATGGCAAGTTAGTCATGGTCAAAAATCGTGAGGACAATGACAAACTGTTGGTCTGTGCTGAAGAAAATAAAGTTTATCTCTGGAAAGCAACTGATGGTAAGGTTTCATATTGCATTCTTATTACAAGCTGACAAAATTCACAAACTAATCGTGATTTGCAAACGAATCTTTACAAGGTTCCAATTCAACAGGCGAGTTTTTCAATCCTGCATATGACTGTTCAGATGCTCTCGACAAAATCTCTGGGGCAAAGGATGGGTTTTATTGGATCAAAGTATCTGGAAATGTTCCAAAAAAGGTAGTTCTATATATCAACCATGCTCGCTGCATTTTATGATCATGATAAAGTTTATGACTTTGGCTCAGCAACACATTTTGTTCTAGGCGTATTGTGACATGAGCACTGACGGAGGAGCATGGGTGCTAATTGGTCGTAAAACGGACGCCGTCACGTGGACAGTACCATCCAATAACAAGACAGTTGAACCATTTGGCAAACCTCATTGGTCCAGCTCACTTGGTGATGCTCCAATCGTCGACTTTCGGGTTCAAGTAGCAACAAAAGAAGATTTCAGTGCGACAAGAGCTCATTGGTGAGTACATTAATAACGAAAGAAACCATCTTTCAAAGGTTGTTTTAATTTTGTGTTGAGCTCGTATTCTGTTTACATGCAATAATCACTGTTTAATGTTGTTCACATGTATGAAGGCCATACTTCTTGTAAGAATTCAATTTTGTTACAAAACATGAAATGAGCATATGCATTAAGGCACTAACTTTGTTTTACAGTAAATTGATGATCATGCATGACGATTATTATGGATACGTGATGGTGATGTCATGAATAATACTTGTATAATGACTGTGAAAATTCTTTTCATAACTGCATAGGTCATTCAGACTAAAAAACAAACGTCCTTTGAAGAATCTTTTGATGCTCAATGAAGGAGGATGTGGTAGATTATGGCCAGGAATTGGAGATATTTCTTATGTTAAAGATCTTCAGACTGAGGAAATTGTCACGACAAAATTTCGCTGTTCACAATTCAGTTCTCATCATTCCAAGTCAGACGGTTTTAGTTGGGTAAGTTTTTCAAGAATCCAAATATTTCATATTATAAAAACTTTTTCTTTACAATATTCTAAATTCGAGAATTAAGAAACTTTGAATTAAACGCTGTAAAAATTACACATTATACATCACAATTCGTTATAGGACATGTTGAACAGTTGTTTGAACAGTCCATGTTCACCTGGCTTTGCCTTCCACAAAAAGTATCCAGTTCAAATTGACTTTTCAGGAGGTTTTAGGTAAATATAAAAAAATATTAGTCTTATGGTTTTCAACGTTGATACATCACGGTAAAACAATGACCTAATATGAATCATGTTTTTACAGCTATAGTGCGTCCGGAAATACCACTTCAGGAATATCCCATGAGTCAACCTCGTTTGTTGGCTGTGAAAATCATAAAGTAAGTTTCTCTTGGTTTTACTTTATAGTTTAGTCCGTGGTAACCTTAAAAGGAAAACATCATGCTTTAATTAATAATTCATGAGTAAATTTGCCACTGAACCATATATTCTACATCATCTTGCTCAGACGATGATACTGGCGACTTGGTGAAGTCACGGTTAATAGAACTAGGTGAAGTATATTGATCCAGTCCTGGCATTGATCAAAATTAATTCAGTTCTAGGACCTGGTCAAAATTACAGTAATTGAGTTTATTCAATTATTCTATAATAATGATCTATAAAATCTTTATAAGAATAAGATTTTATTTCAAATCCTCAAACCCTGATTGAATGGCATGTTCTCCCATATAACTGGAACAAACTACTCGGACCTGATTTGATTCACATCACAAAGACTACAAAAAGTTGGTATCATTGTTCTTACCACTTTAGTGTTGTGGTTGTTTTGGTCCTGTTGGTGGTAAAAAAAATTACTGTGACACTGAATGCAGACCTAAAAAGGGTGGAACAATTGAGAAGAATGTCTATACATGGTTTTGGGTGAGATCATCACTACCCAAAAGAGTCTGGAACAAATGTATGGAGTATAAAGTGACTGTTGCTCAAGGGAAAGTGGTTTGGTACAAGTTATATAATGGAAATACTGTCCCAGTGAAGGTCAGTCATAATTTACTCTAGCTTTTGATGGTGATAACGATCATGGCATCATGCAGATTATTATAAATATACGATATTGACTATTAAATTAGATTAGATGAGAACATGACAAATTAAATTCATAATTTCATTCTTTATTATGTTTTTGCATATTTCTATAGAAAATGTAAACATCGCGTTCCTTGCAATACATCCCAAAAATAATTATGCGCATGCTCCTTTAATTGTGTCTTTTTATAGGGTCGGTGTGATCAGAATGAAGCTCTTCTGAACGATGGTGTACGACAATCATTTATAATATAAGATTTGTAAATTCTGAACATTTTGCCGTATTGATATACAGTTATATCAACACTCGTGAAAATTGGGACTTGAACTCGAAATTGTGTGAAAAGTAAAAACACTCCTCTCTCCGGGCTTTGGGTTTCCAATCAATTTCTGCGGCGTTTTCCCAATTTCCACTCATGTTGATATAACACGGAAAATGTTTTATATTTGTTAAATACTAAACATAAAATTACATGACTAATACTTCTCCTAATTGTACTATAAAGTGTGTCATGTCTTCTAAAACAAACTAAATAAACACATGTTTAATTTTATTCTCACTGATCCTTTAAAGATTGTTGTTGTCCCAGATAGCGCAGCTGCCCAAAAAGTCCCCCCTGTGCCTGGGTTATTGGAATACCGTAAAGACACCCAGAAACTTTATGTAAGATCAAATAAAACATGGAATGTGATTGGTGAAGAAAAAAAGGTAACATTTACCTGACAATGTGAGTAATTAAAATGCTATCGTTTTTATCAGTAAAAGAAAGATCAACGAAAGAGCAAATGAGTACTTGTATACCTGATCTATATACCATTATAATGATAGAAACGCAAAAATAAAATAACTAACTGAAGTTCATATTTATTGGATGAAAATAATTTCACAATATTATCAATTGATCATGAAGACATTGTATTCAATACTTGAACCATACATTCTTCAAAAGTTTGTCCCTGCTCTTGCTATAAGAATGTAGAGATTGATACTGACAAAGAAAATTACGTTGAATTTCCGTTGGACGAGATTAACTATTACGCATTAGAATAGAAATATACTGAAACTAGAGGGCACTCAGAGACTGCATACCTCCGCCCGTTACTCGGAAGTGAAAGGCAACCTTGGAATTTCCTAAGAAATCCACTTTACAATTCTTAAGCATAAAAGATTTCAGGCCCCCGCGAATTGAAATCGAA